AACTATGTGGTTTATCCTAAATCTGTCAACATCTGCAGAGGCTGTCCTATGCAGTTCTGCTATCATTTTGATTTGTTTAAACAATCGGTATAACAAAATATGTGTGTTTTTACATAGTTTTATTTTATGTTCATTTTAACGTTTTTAACAATAAAATTTCTTTTCAATAACTTCCCACAGTGTGCGGTTCTTAACCTCTCCAATACACCTTCTGAAAGCAGCCTCTTTCACTCTCGCCCGCAAAACGCCGCTAATGTCTTCGCACCGGTGTAGGTCACGGTCGCGAATAGTGGAGGTACTGTACACAGTACACAGTACAGTACCCGCACCCCTCCATGCGGCATCCCCCGTTTTGGAGAACACCAGGAGAAGAGATGATCAACTATAAAACCTGGGCATCCTTCCCCAAACAGGGCATTACGACGCGTTCAAGCAACTAGTACTTATCCGTTTGGCAAGCCAGGGCTGAATGGCTTCCAAAATTTTCGTAAGTCAGAGGCGTTTTTGTACACGAGTGACAAGTGATTAATCGTTTTTATTGTCTGTTTTAGATTGTGCTGGTGATACCGGCACTGTTTGCCCACTGTGCGGCCACTTTCGGGAAAGAACAGTAAGTACCCAAATTTTTTTTTTTTTTTTTTTTGATAAAATTATGTTTTATGGATTCTTTACTAATCTAATAAGTAGTTTCTAATTATAAAAAACATTTTGTAAATTTAATAACTAAATCCTATACCAATATTTGAAAAATTCTTTAAAACACTTACTGATATTTCGTAACTTTAACCCACTTCACTGTATCCCCTAATTTCAGTTTGAAAAATAGTTTTGCATCTTTTTTCGGATACTACAAAAACAAACAAAAAAAATGATATTTATATTAGGGTGGAGCGAAAAAAAAATTTTTTTTTCCTTAGCCTTGGGGTGGAATTTGTAGCCTATAAAAAAAAATTAAAAAAAAAAAAATTTTTATTCAACGTCTTAATTTTTTTTCTAAAGTGTCCTCTTTTTTGCTAATTAACAGTTATGAACTTAAAAATTTTTTTGTGGTCATTATTGTTTTTAGAAAAATTCCAAAATAGTAACATGCTTTTCTGAGGCAATAGAGCGAATTTCGAGTTGAACACGATCAAATTTGTTTATTTTTAGGTAATTTGAAGATTACAAGCCCAAAATTTTTTTTTTTATTCAAAAGAATTTTAACTTAAATTTAATTTAAGTTAAATAAAAATTTTTTTTTTAATTTTCTTTTTTTTATAGGCTACAAATTCCACCCCCAGGCTAAAAAAAATTTTTTTTTTCGCTCCACCCTAATTTATATATCTAGTTTCTAAACTTAAACCCTTAGAGTTTTTCTCACTACAACCTATGTATTTTTTTTTTAATTAACTCTAACTATTATATTTTTATTTTTTTCAGTGTACACATAAAAATCCACGTTCCTGAGCAGAGCCACGGAGGCGGGGGCGGTCACGATCACCACGGCGGCGGAGGATTTGGGGGCGGCTTTGGAGGCGGCTATGGGGGCGGCGGCGGCGATATTGACCACCATCACGGAGGTGGCGGTGGCGGATACGGAGGCGGCGGCGGATTCGGTGGGGGCGGCGGCCACGGCGGCGGCGGAGTCAGCCACACCGTAGTTCTCGCCAGTGGCGGAGGCGGCGGTTATGGAGGAGGCGGCGGAGGCGGTTACGGAGGCGGCGGTCACGATCACCATGGCGGTGGCGGCGGCGGATTCGGAGGTGGATTCGGAGGCGGTTTCGGTGGTGGAGATGATCACCACGGAGGCGGCGGCGGCGGATACGGAGGCGGCGGCGGAGGTTACGGAGGCGGAGGTGGCCACGACGATCACCACAGCAGTGGTGGTGGTGGAGATTTTGGCGGCGGTTTTGGAGGCGGTTTTGGCGGTGGATTCGGAGGCGGTGATGATCACCATGGTGGTGGTGGACACGGAGGAGGAGGTGGATACGGAGGAGGAGGTGGAGGTGGATACGGAGGAGGAGGTGGGGGCGGTGGCCACGGAGGGGGCGGTGTACTGCATTTGCACGGAGGTGATCCATTGCCATCAGGAGGTAATTATTTTTTATTTATTAATACTACTTTTTATATTTGCAATCTTTTTCTTTTAATGTCAAAAATTAATATACATTTTTTTGAACGATTTTATTATTTATTTAAATTTATTTTTAGAGTTTACATTTTTAATTTTTCATTCATATTTTAAAATAAAACAAAAAATATAATTTTATAAACAATTTATTTAACTTTCATTTCAACTAATAATAATCTTATCTAATAAAACACACATTATCTACTTACTTACAAATGTATATTAGAGTGATCTCTAAAAGATTCTTTAAAATGTTTTTTAAAACATATTAAATTAACGTATTCGTTTTTTTGTATATAATAGTTATTTATGTCATAAGTCTTTTTGACCTTCTTAATTGAATGACGTACAACATTTAATCTTGAATCGGTCTGTAAAGTAAGGCACAATTTTATTAATTGTAAATAAAACGTAGGATACATCTGACATTTATTGTAAATAATCATTATCAATCACTTTAGTGTCGAGTGTTGACGACAATAAAGTTTAATTTATTGACGGCTTGAAGATAAAATAGATTATTTTAATTCCAGATTTTAATCTCAAAAATTGTGTTATCTATTTTGCGTTCATAATGACTTCATTATAACACCGCTTTTTTATCCCACCCAAAATTTTGATTTTATAGGTTGGTCAAACTTTAAACAGCTTAATATTTTGCGTATGGGTTGATTAACACAAAAGAACATCCTTTTTTTCTTCTTTAACATTAAAAGCCGCTTATTGTAAATAAGTAAATTAAGGACGGCATGGCGAATCGATTTTGACATTAACTGTCAAACCAATGACTGTGATACCAACTATCTAAAGTTAAATTCGACCAAATTAAATTTAAGGTATAAAATTAATTTTTTTTATAGAATTTTTGCAAAATAGATAAAATAGCATAAAGAACATGTCGATTACAAAATAGTTTTATAACATTTATATATATTAGGGTGGCCCAAAAAAATAAGAATATTTTTTTCTCTTGTCTCTTGTAAAAATATGTTGGTTTGTCATGTTTTAAGAGCCCTGTCAACAGATCAGCTCCATTAAAAAATTTTTAGGGGTCGCTCAAAATTTTTAAAAATTTCCAAAATCGTCAAAAATTGGATTTTTATTTTATTTTAATTCTTTTTCTCGTCTCGATATTATTTTTTAGGTTGAAAATAATAAAAATTCTGTAAATTTCAAATCAATATTTTGATTTCTTAAGGTCGCTAAAAGTTCGTTGATATTTATATTCAGAGGTCGCTCGAAAACATTCAAAATACTGACAAACCAACATATTTTCACAAGAGACGAGAAGAAAAAAAATATTCTTTTTTTTGGGCCACCCTAATTTATATATATATACATATATTATATTTATATTTATAATTATTTATAATATACGCATTCTTATACTAAAAACTAAATTTTTTTTAGATGGACACGGAGGCGGCGGTGGTTACGGAGGCGGCGGTGGATTCGGAGGCGGCTTTGGGGGTGGCGGTGGTGGACACGATGATCACCACGGAGGTGGCGGCGGAGGTTACGGAGGAGGCGGTGGATTCGGAGGCGGCGGAGGCGGCGGTCACGGTGATCACCACGGAGGCGGTGGGGGCGGTGGCTACGGAGGCGGCGGCGGATACGGAGGAGGCGGCGGCGGCGGTTACGATCACCACTCAAGTGGCGGCGGAGGGGGCGGTGGATACGGAGGCGGCGGTTATGATCACCACTCAAGTGGCGGCGGAGGTGGCGGAGGATACGGCGGCGGCGGTGGCCACGATGATCATCACGGAGGCGGCGGCGGTTTTGGAGGCGGCGGCGGATATGGAGGCGGCGGTGGTGGTGGACATGATCACCACGGAGGCGGCGGCGGTGGTTTTGGAGGCGGCGGCGGATATGGAGGCGGCGGCGGCGGTGGACACGATCACCACGGAGGCGGCGGAGGAGGCGGCGGTGGATACGGAGGTGGTGGCGGATTTGGAGGCGGTCATGGCGGCGGCGGTGGCGGTGGCCACGGCGGCGGCTGGGATTAATTTATCCATTTCATTTCCAAATTACCTCTCATCTTTTAAGTCTGTGTCACCCTTAGCTCATAGTAACATAATTTATCATTTCTGTCGTGCCCATGTGTTGGAATGTATGCGTGTAAATATTGTTGATAGTTGTTATGTAATTTTTAATATAACTTTTTTAAATAAATAAAAGACTTTTATTTATTTACTCTTTCGGTATCTCAAATTGTAGAGCCACCAAAACATAAGTTAATATATTAGCTGATATCTAAAAGTGAACATGATAAAAAACTTTGACACTTAAATAAAGCATTTCTTTAGATTATATAGATAATATATGAAGCAAACATTTACCGATTTTTGCATGTTTGCTCCACATATATGTTTCTAGATAGTAAAAAAAATGCAATAATAATTATGCCATACCGGCCCAGCGATTCCCAAATCCACAGTAAAAACACCACTGGCCGTGAAAGGACGATGCTGTTGTATTTTTTCAATAAACAATCTGACTTGCTGATGTTCCTCAAGAGTGGAAATCCTAGTGGAATATTCCAAAAGAAAACTCGTCAAACCGTGTATCTAAAAATAATTCGCGCCTTAAAAGAACTCATAAGCATAGAAAGCAAAACAAATTGTCTTTACTAACTTTATCTTATCTTAGCTAATCTTAATCGCGAAGACAAATTATCGTGCAAAATACTTTCATTTATGGCTTTGACCATAGGTCCAGAATTACATCTGGCTTTTGCTTAAGTCTTACAGACTTTCTAGCAATTAGTCTCGATAATAATTTTCTCCTTATCCGATGATATTTATTTATATCTCGGTGCGACAAAAAAGGATTGCAGAATTTAATTAGTTAGTATAGGCAACTCAGAGAGCGTTCAGAGCATGGTAGTTGCCTATATACGTACCATATTCTTGAGTTCCTGGGCGTTCTTCAAAAACAAGAACAATCCTAGTGTGTGCATGGTTACAAATCCGCAGTTCAAAATTTGTATGGTTTTAGCATAGGGCGATTTGAAATCGTATGCGATGTAAGCTATAACGGCATACCAAGTTATGATTAAAACGGTCAATTCCACAACAGCATGTATCAAGAACTGTGGGTTGAAACAGCTGTTCATGTCATAGGTGCTGAGACTGATTTCCTCGTGAAGAATTCTCAAATGTTCCACTACCTGAGGTGGTGGAAGTTTGAGTAATCTTCCGTTGCAAAGGTGTTTTTGCTTGCAGACTTCGTAGTTTATAAACCCGAAAAAGTCCTTGACATTGTTGGATTCATCGATACCCTTCATGGGGTGAACAGGGGTGTACTTAAGACAGCTCATAGTGAGCTTTTCAAAGCAGCCCAAAACTCCTATGAACACCGCGACAATCGTAAAAAACTGCAGATACAGGACAAACGGAACAATTTGTATGCCTTTATTTATGAGGATTCTAAAGTCAAAATTCGTTTTGTAGTGATCAGAGTAATGTAGGTAAGCCAAAACAGAACTCAGCAGGGTCAAAGCTAGTATTTGAGTGCACACAAAACAGTACTGCAACTTGAGTACTACTTGCTTGGCTGACTGACAGTACAAACCATCCTTAAGCAGGACAGTCAACTTATTTAAAGTCGTCAACCATTTTGGAAACCTCACAAAGCATGTGACGGCTAGTATAATAACGTAGATACCATATATGGCGTCTGTAATATCATCCAGAAAAATCGGCAGGGATTTCCTGGAGGTGAGCTTAGGAAAGTCCACAGACTGTAATAACTGAAAAATGTACAACATGTAAATAAATATGGAGTACGTCATCCAAAACCATGATTTTTCGTAGACACAGTTACCATCTTTGTGTGTCCAAGTGCCAGGGAAGATCCCCACGAATCTGCAAACTGTAAGGACGGGTGAAATTGATTTGCAAAAGCAGATTTTATTTTTTGACTTGGGGGGTTCTTTTTCTACTTGTTTTACTGCGTCTAACATCATGTGCTCTGTGCTTATGTACATCTTTTGTTTTTGCTGATTTATTTCGTCCAAGACGCTTGGAATTGTAGAGCTACGAGTACGTAGGTCACAACTGTTCCAGAGATCTACAAAAAAATTAAATTATAGTTTTTGTTTTTAAGAAGTAAACATTTTTGATGATAATAAGTTTAAATATCAAGATTTTATGAAGATAATTTAATTTTAACAAAGTATTTAATGAGAACAAGCTTAAAAAAGGACTTGGTTTAATGACGACAAGTTCTAATGAAGATAAGCTTTAATAACGATAAGATTTTATAAAGATAAGCTTTATTTTTGAAAAGGCTAACAACAAAATTTAATGTCGATAATATTACTATTAAGCTAAAATGATAATGCTTTAATGACGAGGCCTCATTAACGACAAGCTTTAATGTAATATTATTGACAATATTTTTAAGACAATAAGCTTTAATTTTATAAAGGTTTAATAACGACAAGCTTTAATGATAATGGTATTAAATGACAACAAGCTTTAATAACAATAAGCTTAAAGGCAAGATTTTATGACGATAATTTAATCTTGTCAAAATTATTATTATTGTCTTTAAATCAACAAGCTTAAATGTAAAGATTTAATGAGAACAAGCTTAAAAGACGACTTGGTTTAATGACGACAAGTTTTAAGGAAGACAAGCTTTAATAACGACAAGATTTTGTGATGACAAGCTTTACTTTTGACAAGTTTTAATGACGATAAGGTTTAAAAACAAAAATATTAAATGACGACAAGCTTTATTGACCACATTTTTTACGACGAACTTTGATGATAATAAGTTTCAATGGCAAGATTTTATGACGATAATTTAATTTTAACAAAGTATTTAACCTTGTTGAAATATAATTATCGTCATTGAGTCAACAAGCTATAATGTCAAGATTTAATGAGAACAAGCTTAAAAGACGACTGGGTTTAATGACGACAAGCTAACCTGGGAAGATAAAAAATAAACACAAACTTCTAGACAATAATGACGAAAAACTTAATACATACTGCTGCTAGTAGTCTCGTTCCAACAGTGAATATATCCGAAGCTCTTAGTACAGGTTTCTGAGTAATTAGAGTGGTTATTAGCATTTCAACCTAAAACAATGCATTAACAAAATTAACATAATGTGTACATAGGTAAAATTTTATTGTACCTGAGCTGATTCGGCCGCTGTTAATTTGCTAATGGGGTACTTAAACAGGAACGAAAGTATATCTTCATTCTAAAAACAAATACATGCATTACAATTATTCGATTAAATAAATTATTTCACGTCTATTTGTTGATTGTAATTATCGATAGCTGGTAATTGTTTGCGTTTAGAAGACATAGTAATATTAATAATGATGCATAATAATCATAATAAAAAATGTATGGCATCTAGTCAAATAATTTAATGTTGTTTTTTTTGTAGATAAAAATCAATAAGATTTTCTTACCATATTTTTAATTAATCCAATAATATACAAGAGATACTGTAAACCAATTGTAATAAGAAAAATCCTCAAAATAATCTCGAAAACTTTTTTGTTAGTATCAGAAAAATTACTGATAGCATTTACGGTGATAAATATCTCCAATATCAATAGAAAAGTTGTCAGTAAAACCCACACCAACACGATGCTGTCGTACAATTTATTAAAAATACCAAAATTTTTGTTTAATATCATGAGATATCTATTCAAGTAAAAGAGGGATGCATTTTTTGCGTTGTCAACAAAAAGATTTTCGTCTGGAAAATATTCGAACCTTTCTAGAATTGTTAGCTTTGAGAGCATTTTATTTTTCACGCATTTCTTGAATGATATAAATTGATAGTAAAATAAATCAACGCTTTGATATAAAGTAGCAATAATTTTCATCTGAAATAGCAAGCTACACACCAACGCTACCTCTCTAATGTACTTAAACTCACAATCATCTTGAAACAAAAATATGTAACCCATAAAATGCAAAAATAAAACCACGTATATAATTAATTGATATATCACATTGTTTCTTCTTAAAATATTAATCTGTTTTGAAGATATTGTGTGAATTCCAAACGATTCACTTATATCCATGCTATTACTCCATATTTTAATAATGTCAAGTCTCAACTTGGTTTTCAGTAGTCCGTAAAAATTATATATCAACCCACTAAACGAAAAAATAAATTCTGTTACAAAAAGCATACAGTCAATGTTATTTGAGTGGCATAAGTCACGAATTGCAAACATATAAGAGCTCGTGGAAATAATTAAAATAAAATTTAAAATGCAAGAAATATAATAGTATGTTCTTAAAATTACTGGTACACATGTTGGGTTATTTTTACTGGGTCTTATGTACCCTATGGGTACCAATATCGGCATTACGTATATGATTTTTATTACACACACACTGCATTGGTGATGTTTCATGGCTGCTATGATTTTAATTACTAGTATGTAAATATTTGTTGTACAATATTTGTTGATGGTCAAACAAATTAGTACCTATAAAATGTAATGGTTTGTTTAGATAATTTTTTTATTTCGTTTTTGTAAATATCATATAATTCATATATTTTTTTCTCGGATTCTGAAGGTAACTACTAATTCCTTGGTCCCACTTCTGAAATAGTTTGTTGCAAATATCATTAAGTGTGGTATCTCTATAGTTTGTGAAGCATTTATACTGTTTAGGCCGGAACGGGATGATTTATATATATCTAATATTTTTCCGGTGGTATGTTAAAAGTATTTTCCGAATTTATTAATTTTGTTGCCATTAGTTTTTATACTCTCTATCATGCACTGTATTTAAATCACTGTTATTCTGCAAGATGTCCTGTGACGAAGAAATCACTATATTACTTACTCTCAGGTCATTTAGCAGTCAATTCCTATGAAATATTATTCGCTGAATCCGAAAATGTCGTCAAAAGTTATAAAAGTAGAGCAGTTTTTGAAAAATAATCAATTTTACATATATTATGGAATTGACTATATCTCAAAAACTGCTTAACTTTTATAGTTTTTGACGGTCTTTTCGGATTCAGGGGACAATTTTACATAAGGATTGGCTGGTAAAAGTCCTGGATATAAATAGAGTATGATATTGGACATATGTCCAATAATAGAAATTTACATTTTTTTTCAACCAGTAATTGGACACTGGCCATTTTACTGTTTGTTTTCAGAATTAAAATTAAAACGCATTAAATGTTTAAACCTGAGGAACATATTTATACCACACACTGATCTGTACACTTTTTAGAAATATTTTTTATTGTAATTTAAACACAGCCCCGCTCTTAACAAAAAACAATGATTTGACTTTAAGGTAACTATTTATAGAACTCTTGTTTTTACAATATTAATTTTGTCCAATAACTATAAAGTGAGGTTAGATAAATGTAAAAAACTTGAACCGATTGGTAGTAAGCGTTGACAATAATAAAGTTTAAATTATAGAACACTTTATAAAAACTTACCACTTTGGAAAATGTATCAGTCAAAAATAGAACAAAACTGATTCCAATAGTACTGATTGTGATCCTCAATAATACGATAGTGCAGTTAACTACTTTGGGATCTACGATTATCAGATAAATATCAAAGGTATGACTGGCCATCAAATTAATAAACCACAGTGGTAAAAAATAGTACATTGTTTTATTAAACTTTTTAAAACTATAATTAATGGCATGATGCAATGAAATCATTCTGCTGAGAAATTCCTTTAGCTCTAACTTCTCTGGTAGCATATAAACACTTGATGCTTTAATATTAAATAGGTTTAAAAAGTTTTTTATTGACATATGTGCATCCTTGTAAAAAACTGTCAACACCTCACAAATAAATATGAATTGAATAAGGACTTGAAATTGGGTTAAAAAACTGAACCCACTTAATCCATGTATTACGAATGCATCTATGTTCCACTCCACTTTATTGAGCAATAATGTTAATAGTATCATTGTTAAAACTAAAAATACCGATGTTACTGTAAAATATAAAATAAACCTCAAACGTTTTTTGAATGGATCATCGAATTTCAAAGGTATTCCATAGTATAAATGATCTTGAAAAAGTTGTTGAAATTCATTTAAAGCCTCTATTCTTGTTCTGGTGTTGTGCAAATTAAAAAGGTATGTCACCACTCCCATGGTTATATAAAAAAAAACTGTTGTTAACGTAATACACTCAGACGTATCTTTAAATTGGCAAGAGTTAAACATATAATTCAAATATGTTAAAAAAGTACTTATACATAAAACATACTCAGTTAAAATCAGCATAGTAAAATATGTTACATTATTGAAGCGTTCGTCTTTACAATGATGTGGGTGGCTGATTGCCACCGGTATAAGCAAAAATACGATGGGTCTAAATGGTCTAAAATAACAAACGACGCAATGCTCTCTAACATTTTTGTACAGGTCCAAAAAACTAAACATGATTGATACACTTATTCAAACCTAACTAGCTCAGATACAATCGTATTTCAATAGTGCTCGTGAAGTATTGAAAAAAATGTTTACCCAAGATAAAATAAATGTCATTAGGAAGATCGTCTAAAGATATTTTAGTTACTAAAATATTGTGTTATACAATATTGTTCAACTATTCAGTAAACATTTAACAATGTTGCTACAGAGACGTAAAACTGAAGAATTCTTGAAAATATTTAGAATTGGCCTGTTTTCTTAGAATTTCATGTTAATGATACTTCATGGGAAAAAAAGTAAGAATACCTTTATTCTTAAAAAAAATCACTTGATTTAAGTATAACTTGCTTAGGCTACGTCAAGGCTAAAACTAACATTAAACTAAATATTAATCTTTCTTTAAACAAGCAGATCCTATTCTTGCCTGTTAAATGTTAAGAAATACTTTAAATAAAATAATCTTATTCTTAATTTAATCGATTAGACCAAATTTTGGAAAATTCCCTCTATTCAGTTGTTAAAGATATAAAACTATACTGGATATAAATATAATTATATTTATTTTAAGATTAGTAAATTTTGGTTCCACTGGGCTATTCTTAAAAATATCCCCCACTCAAGAAAGTGTCCGACATTTTGGAAGATTGTTTCTTGTGTTGGTTAATATTTGGTTTGGAATTATAAAAGAGCTGCAAAATTAGTGGAATTTGATAGAATTAACCACCGAATGTATGTGTAGGTAATAATTATTACATAATTATATTTATGTGTGTACGAGTAGTATTATGTATTGAATTTTATATGTTGGAGTGATATTAGGTTGGCCGAAGAATCTCATAAAAAACAATTATGTATATTTTACCTCTGGATTATAATAGGTACGAATAAAAATTTTGGGTAAACAAATCAACGTGTCTGAAGGTTTAAAAAAAATTATTGCAGTATATATTATAAATAGGTAGATGGGTAATTGAAACATTGTAGACCAATATTATTTTTTTCAGGTTAAGTTAAGCAATAATTGTTTCAAATATTGTCTATTCTTTTGTTAACTTTTGCTCGACCAGTGGCTCATCATAGAGAATTAAAAAATTAAGTATAATTTAAATATTTTACTTTCTATAATATACTATAAATTTTTAATATTTGGATTACATGTATTGTGAAATAGTCAATAAAATTGATTGATTTTATACGTGCAATACCCAGCAACGTTTAAATTATTTGAATTTGAAACGACCGCAATTTAAACTAATATTTATAGCAAGATGATTGGCTCAGAAGCATGCCTGAACTAATTTAGACTCACGATTGGCGTTAGCCTTGTTGTCTCGTTCTATTACAATGCGATATCATAGTCTCCTTCTCTCGTATTAGCATACGCGAGGCAGGCACGCCTACATCCAAGGAAATAAGCAGATGTTGTGGCAAGACTGTTGCGAAATTTTAAATTATACTTCACACGTTTTTCAAAATTCAATAATAAATGGTATTATTTTTCTTATAATAAATCGATTTAATCGAAATTATATTTCTATTCTAAAATAAACATATTTTAACACTATAGCCATCTTGTAGCCATCACAGTAACCAATAAAATAAATACAGATTCCTTCTTTAGGTTTGTTTTGGTTATAAAATACTGAACTGTTTAAAGAACAAATCTGTGGTTATTTACGCAATATTTTGTTTATACTTTTTCTATGAGTTTGTCTATTTTATAATTCTTTTGTAAGTGGTTTATTCTGTGGGTGATTTATGTAAATTTGGTCATTATGGATATTGCGGTGAGAAATTGTAACGATATTGTTGACTTTCTTTTGAACTTTCCATTTAGTCGTCTTTCTTTCGATTATAAAATGTTTGTTAAGGAATTTGGTGTACTATTATTGATTTAATGATTAGGGCTTAAACCTAATGGTTATATTAATAATGCTGCATTTTACCTCTACACCTTCACGTGGTTCTTGCTGAACAATGAAATATTAATTAGACAAAAGTGAGGTTTATTTAAAATAAACGTCATTT